ATACTGTCTCGGGGAGAGTGTTTGCTCTAGATTTAGTTAGGTAGATTACGTTAAGTATCATTTGTTACCTCCCGTATTTAATCATCTAAAGCGGCCTACCTGGAGGATGATGAATCGTAATGCAACCACACGGAAATTGAAATTTACGTATTCACAGAAACAGTATTATTAAAACTACGGACGTTTATGCATTACTGATATTGAGATGCGCAAAGTAAACATAAATCATGTAACCTACAGACTGTACATCCACAGGTTACATGATTTATTTGCATCTCGCGAATACGTGGTACAGAAACGTAGTGTAGTAACAATAACGAACTATCGCAAATATAGGTGGAAGAAATTTTGTTCGAATGACCATTCGCGACAAATGTGGTAGAAATTTATTGGAAACATTCGCGTTAAGTGCAGGGACAAGCTCTTTACGGGTCTCCCCGTTACCATTTCGAGCATATTCGTAATGTAACCTCGGCACGCATTACCTTAAAACATTCAGCCTTGAACGTAACACCGTTTCCAGCATCGTGACATCCTCGTTACGCAGATTCCCTCGAAACTTAAAGTAACAACCCAGCCGGCTCCGAGCAACGTGCACCAACAAGCCACCGCTCGTAATTTCCGTCAGAGTTTTAACGTCGAGAGCTCCATTTCGCGTTTAACACACTAATTTCCCTGCATCCGAATATGCGACGTATCCGCGCCATCGCTGTAAACATGCCTCTTCAGTTTACCCGGCGTATACCTTCGCCATTACATCTGTTTTTGTCCGGAGCCTTAACGCGGTAATCTTAGTTACGCGTGAGAACGCGTGCACGTGCGGCGAGTGGACTTGTAAATTGCACGGGGACTCCATCTTGACGGAACCAGCCGAGAAGATAAAATGGAGGATTTTCTTGCGCTCCTTTGTCCTTTTCCGCATCTGGAACTTCTGCGCTTATTTCTGAATACGTAATATTTTGTTCTATAATAATTCTAATTCTTACATTGTTCTTATAATGTACTTTGTTTCTGTTTATATAATTTCAGACGTTTTTTAATGCAGTCGAGGTTAGGGTATTTCATGTCTTAGCTCTGTTTGAGCCTCTGGGCTCTATCTTTTTAAACTCCATGAGACTCTAACTTCCTAATACACTGCGGTGCATTAATATAGCACCATCTACTATTTAAGTTGTTCTGTAATTCAGAGTTAAAATGCAAAAAATCAATTGCAAGAGATGAAATGGTATGGGTCACAATAAATTTTATATTAAGTCTCATTGAAGTTGCTCTTCTATTAGAAACGATATAATCGAAAATGTGATTTTGGCTTGTTGCGTAACTATAGCACCAATGTCATTAAATTAACTTCTCTCCATCCAGTTCAACTACAAACTCACTGAAGCTAAATAATTACATCCTTATTAAAATACAAATTAAAATTTGACAATACTCAAATTTCTTGAACAATGCCACGTGGTAGATATTTGACCAAAGAGGAAAAGGGTCAAATTTTGGCGTTTAAGGAGGATAAAATTAGTGTTAGGGAAATTGCCCGTAGGCTAGGGAGCTTACATAAAGTCATTTTAATTTTTTTAAATAATTCCGTTAATTATGGCAATAATAAAAAGGATGGTTCAAAGAAAAAATGTAGTCACCGTACCGAGCGAGCAATTCTAAAAGCAGCCAGTAACATCCAAAACAGCTGTAACCAAATTAAAAAGGAAGTCAACTTAAATATTTCACGGTGGACAGTACGTCGAGTTTTGAAAAGTAATCCCAACATGGAAAAGCAGAAATTAAAATCTGCACCAAAACTTCTACCACGGCATAATTTTGCGAGGCTTGAATACGCTCGAGCGAACATGCATCGCGACTGGAAAAGCGTAAGTTAACCTTAGACGTCAAAATCTTTTTACACCAATTTACTTAAACTTCTATCACTGATAATAAGGTTATATTTTCGGATGAAAAAAAGGTTAATCTTGATGGTCCGGACGGCTATAATTCATATTGGCGAGATCTCCGAAAAGAACCACAATACTTTTTAAAAAGAAATTTTGGCGGACGAAATCAAATTGGGGTGCCCTTTGCATTGATGGTATGTTGTAACTGGCTTTATAAAATAATTTTATCACACAATTTGTTACCTTTTATAAACGCACATGATGCAATTAATTGAACTTTCTAACAGGACAACCTTATTGTACACACCAGTCGGAAGACAGTATCATGGTTGAAAAGAAAAAAAGTAATATTATTAAATGACCAGCATGTACACCAGACAAAAACACGATGGAAAATATTTGGGCCAATATTGTCCGAAAATTCATGACGAAAATCGACAGTATGAAAATATTTTAGAACCAAAAAACGCAACACTAAAAGCATGTAATGAAATTAGCCAACGAATTTTTCAGAAACTCATCGAGAGCATGCCAGATAGAATTTTCCAGCTTGTAACAAAACAAGGAGGCCCTACAAGTTATTAAAATCATATTTATGTGTATATATTTGACATTTATTCACATGGTGCTATAGTTATGCAACGATGACAAATTTTCATGTTATATTTTCTTATACATATAATAAAATAATATTAACAAATTTTTACTAAAGTTCATTGTTCACTATATCTTTCAATTTCGTATGGATGATTTTTATGTATTGTTATTTCAAAGTCAGTATCTACTAAAAATATAGGTGGTGCTATAGTTCTGCACCGCAGTGGATATCTCTAACTTTGACTCTAGTATCTCTCTAGACCTTACAGTCTCCCAAAATTGAAATTATGATGTCCTCTCCCTGGATCTATAACTCTAAACTCTGTGTCGTCATAAACTCTCTAGTCCTTCATATCCTGAAATTATACTTAAAATTTCCCTAAATGTTCCAATATCCGTGACATGCATTCGTTCATCGTTAACCTACATAGCTATCTTTCCAAATATGTAATTACCAAAGTCATTCGGTGACCCACTTTCATCCGTCAGTGAAACATCTAAATGACGCGTTCCTCATTAATCTATCCCATTCCAAAGTTTGAAGTTGATATTCTTGACGATACGGGGAACTCGTCGCGCAGATCGGGGAATCACTCAGTTGGCAACAATGCGAACGCGTACGTTTGATGATTCGTGGATAAACGGTGTCTGCAAACAAGTCGGTAATGAAATGTTCCCGCTGTTACCGCGACGAATGGTTGTCTGACAACATCAGCCCATTAAGAACAACTCATTACCGAGAAGACTGGCACGCTCGTCTGCCGGCTGAATCTCAAGAATCGATCGACGGCTCCTTCAGAGCCACGTTGATTCAGTGACAAGTTACACAGAGATTTTGGAAGAATCTGAAATTGGCGATGGTGAAAAGATACTCTTAACGCCCAGCGTGTCGACTGCGAGATAACGTGGCTGAAGTTCTCCGTTTCGAGTACTCTCGTCGGGAACTCTGAAATTCTCCGACAAAGTTCGATTTCCGTTCAAGTTCGCGGAACAAGTGCTTCATGGTGGAAATCACTGAAAATTGTTGTTTTCTAAGAGTGTACTTGGTTAATTTTGCCTTGTGACGCGATCGTCTATTTAAGAACGCGGAACCAAACCGACTAAACGAAAGAAAGAAGCGACTATGCGAAAGAGTGAACCGGATAGAAACTTCTCGTCGTGTGTTTGCATACGTTTCATAAGTATGGATCACGACAGATCCAATCACGTTACCGAGTTAATTACCGCAGCCTCGACGCGTGAAAATATTGAATTGTAAATTAAAAATTCTGAAGATCACGGAACTTTGATATCGAGGAAAGGATGTTTAATTCATTACCCTGAAGAGTTGGAAGTGGCTCGAAAGTGTTACGTACAATTACAGCACTCAATTTAAATTCACCAACTTCAGACCCATTAAAGACTCGTTAACGTCAGGAATAAAATTACGCTTTAACACAGCATTTATTGATTCTGAAGTTGTCCCTTTCTTCCTGGAACAATTGACTTTTGTATCTCCGACGAAAATCATTTAAATTATAGGTTACCCAGGGTAGGTTTTCTCGGTTAAATTCAAGCATGAGTAGAAAACGATTCGAGCCGGAGCCTCTGGGTCATCGATTTGGACGATCTGATCTTGATCGATTAGGTAATATATTCCTTACTTTTCCGCTTTAGATTGAAACTGACTTTAACCCTATACCGTTTTCTGTTAGTTTGATAGAATACTTCTTTCTCGAAAATGTTCTGAATAATCTGGTATATCTGTTTTGAGATGGATGTAACACTGTATCGTTTACTATTTCTTAATCTATAGCTGACGCACCTGTTGTGTCATTGAAACATTTCAATGGAAAATGCATGACACATCTGGTGCGTCATTAAAGTATTTCAATGACCAGTGCATGACACACATGATGTGTCATTTAGTCATTTCAAGGGAGAATATATGACACACCTGATGCGTCATTAACTTATTTCAATGGGAAGTGCTTGACACATCTGGTGCGTCAGTAAGTTACTTTGATAGTATATGCATTAAGCACTTGATGCATCATTAGGTTATTTAAATAGAAAATAGCTTGACACACTTATTGCATCATTAACTGACTTCAATGAGAAATATATGACACACCTGATGCGTCATTAACTTATTTAAATGGAAAGTGCTTGACACACCTGGTGCGTCAGTAAGTTACTTTGATAATATATGCATTGAGCACTTGATGCATCATTAGGTTATTTAAATAGTAAATAACTTGACACACCTATTGCGTCATTAACTGATTTCAATGAAAAATATATGACACACCTGATGCGTCATTAACTTATTTCAATGGAAAGTGCTTGACACCTGGTGCGTCAGTAAGTTATTTTGATGGGATGTGCATGACGCACTTGATGCATCATTATGTTATTTATAGCATATATATATTTATAGCATATAAGTGACGCACCAAATGCGTCATTGAGCATTTTCAATAAAAATACATAACGTATGTTTTTAGCCACAAATATGTTTCTTTCTGATTTCGTATATTTAAAGGATACTTTCATGACCCAAATCCGGCACCCTTCGACAAGTATCAGGGAGTACCATTCAGATTCCGACAAGGAATCGAAAAAGGGCGTCAAATACTCGCGGGACCTCCTTCCAAGTTATTCGAGGAGAAATTCGTGAGAATATTCGATGGAGAGGCACTGTATGAGCCATGGCGTTTCGAGGCGGCAGAAAGGGTAATCGTGATACAATATTGTTCGAACAGTTCATGAAATGTTAACCTTCATTTGAGATAAAAAAAAAAATAAACATTTTTGCAGTTCTACTTTGATTGTTAATGAAGCAACCCTGATACATCCAACGTTTCGCAGTTGGAGCGAGAACAGGCAAAACTTGGAAGTCACATGTTGCCACCGTCACCTGCCAAGAAACATGCGACACCTGGTGATTGGTATGGATGTTTCGAGAAAATCCCTCATTTCAGTCCAGCCTTGAGGCCAACAAAAAGGAAGGAACCTGAATTACCTAATGCAAAGATCAAACCTAACCCAAAAGGAGGCCCGGGTTATCCTGATATTTGTCTGAGTCGATTTCCAGAATATAGTTATAATCCTTATGACCCTCCAAAGAGACGTCAAAGAGGTATAGTAAATTTTAGAGCAATATATTATTTCTTATTTTCTTTATTTTAACTATTAGTTAACTATTTTATTGGTGACTGAATTGTGAAGCGAAGGTTAGGGTATAATTACAGGTTAGGATTATTGAAGATTAGAAATATTGAAATATTGAAAATTAGAAAAGTCAGGATTGCGGAGGTTTAAGGTTATTCAAAATTAAGATTAATGGAGGTTAGGACTATCGAAAGTTATGTTAGGTTAAGATTATTGAAGATTATGATTACTGAAGGTTATGTTAAGATTATCGCAGATTAAGGTTACTGAAGGTTAGGTTAAGATTATTGTAGATTAAGGTTACTGAAGGGTAGGTCAAGATTATTGAAGATTAAGATTACTGAAGGTTAGGTCAAGATTATTGAAGATTAAGAGTACTGAAGGTTGAATTAAGATTATTGAAGATTATGATTACTGAAGGTTATGTTAAGATTATTGAAGATTAAGATTACTAAAGGTTAGGTTAAGATTATTGATGATTAAGATTGCTGAAGGTTAGGTTAAGATTCTTGAAGATTAAGATTATTAGAGGTTAGGTTAAGATTATTGAAGATTAATATTACTAAAGGTTAGGATTGTTGAAAGTTAGGTTAGCATTATTGAAGGTTAATACTCCAACTGACCCAATTTAACCTAACTCAAATAAGCAAGCAATCAAATGCTTCTTTCATATCAACCTTAAAACTCGCACTGCATCCAACATAACCTACAAAACGCAAACAATTAAACATCGCATCACATTCTACTACATAAAAATATTTGACACAGTATCGCGATATTATCCGAGTTTTAATTCGCAGTTTCCCAGTCACTGTTCTTGTTCCTCACCTTTTTTGTTCATTATCCTTTTCTGTCCACGACAGACAATATTGCCGGGCAAGAAAGTAATATAAAGAGAGCTCGTAACACGAAAGAAGATTGGGGACCGCTTTTCCCACTGTCCTTTTTTTCTCCGCTAGAATTTTGTTTCCCAAGCCAGCACAACTAATTACATTCTTGTCGTAAGAAACGTTGGGAAATGAAAGCTTATTATATTTAGACACTTCTCCGTTCTTTCCTTTTTTTTCCTGTCTTGGCGTGTAAGCTTTCAAAGTACACGCTTCGGAGGCTATAGAGCTTGCAAAAAGTGGATTTAACTAAATCGGTTGCTTCCATTGGCTCAGCTATTATTAGGCAAACACGTTAATTAGCCGCCATTGTGTCTGGTAGCGTGTTGCGCTGAATAAAGATGACCCTCTCGCAATTAGGGGGTCAGGTGTGTCTCAAGATCTTCATTTTTGGCCCTCTTTTCAAACTCTATCTAGAACGAATGTACATAATATTACTTATAATTTCATGTTTGCGAAACTTACAAAAAATGAGGCTAACAGAATATTAAGATTATTACGGGATATAATATTACGAGAGGATTAGGCACAGTACAAGTTTTTGCCAATAGTTTAACAATTTTTCCTTCACATTTGTAGTTTCAAATTTTTTACCCGCAGCAACAATAAGATCCAAGGAATCATCACATTCGAGCGAGTATTTTTTGATTTGTTAGTCACATCTGGTTTTGAACCCTTAACCCTAGCAGTGGTTTTGTTTGCAGTTTTCCGTACGTGTCGCGGTATTGCTTGGTTTTACTACTTGCTTAGGTCACTTTGGGGAAACAGACCCACTTCATACGTCATTTATATTTCCATCTCCACTCGAATTTTAGCTAAACCTATAGAAAATTAGAAACTTTCTTCAGCAATGTCACAAAAATTGTACGCCCACTCCGAGCTTTTGTAAAACGTAGATCTTCGAAGAGACCACGTCAGCAAGTACATAGCGAAATAAACTCTAGTCATTCGAAGTGAAATTCATTTCTTAGATACATAGATATGTTCACTTATTGTTCTTTAATGATAGATTATTTTTTAATAATTTATCATTTCGACATGTTAGATAAAGCTCTGGGTCGATTTTTGAGCGCAAGCGCGCCGCTGGACTTTTTCCCGCCAAATCCTTACTTGGCCGAATCCATTGGGCCAACGTACGTGAGGCCGAAAGAATTCCCGCCGAAAATGTTAGGACCCGGCCGACTTTACGTACCGTTTCCTAAGAAACCTGGTGGAAATCATTCTGGTTGTTTCGAGAAGTTCCCTCTTTATAGCAGTGATCCTTATGACAAGGGCATCAAAGAAGCGAAAGTGGAAGGTGTAATTGTCGCAGGTGGACCAGCTCTGCGAACCAAATACACCAACAGCATTGTATCCCAGGTTACCAGAATAGCCTGTAATGCCACGAATTACCAAAACTATCGAGAACAAGTTTACGTTTTGGATAAATGAGATTTATATCATTTTAATGTGTACTTGAACATTTTTATGAAATCAGTTTTATTTTATTTGTGTGAATAATATTTTGAATAAATGTTATAAATGTTATGTAGTGTTTCAAAGTTGTTTTGGATGAGGAGGGAATTTTTCAATGCACTGTCGCCTAGGGAATTTAGTTAAGTTATAAAATGGAGGGTAAAAGGAGAAACAAATGTGGATGTTTGAAAAGAAAGCATTGTGACATGGATGAAAGCGTTTATATGGTATTATGAAATGGTAGAATAGTAGGAGAGTTAAATGGCAAAATGACTAAATAGTAGAAAAGAAGAATAGTAGAATAGCAAAATAGTAAAATAATACAATAGTAAAGTATTAAAATATTAAATTAGTATAACTGTAAAACAGTGAATTTGTAAAATAGGAAAATAGGAATGTGGTAAAATAATGAAATAGTTAAGTAGTAAAATAAAGAAATAGCTAAGTAGTAAAATAAAGAAATAATGAAACAGTAAATTAGGAAAATAGAAAATTAGTAATATGTTAAAATAGTGGAATAGTGAAATAGTGGAATAGTGGAATAGTCGAATAGTGGAATAGTGGAATAGTGGAATAGTGGAGTAGTGAAATAGTGAAATACTGAAATAGTGAAATACTGAAATACTGAAATACTGAAATACTGAAATACTGAAATACTGAAATAGTGAAACAGTAAAACAGTAATTGAAACATAATACAACAATAACAAAATAATAAGAAATTAAGACAATAATAAAGATTTCCAATGAAACCAGCATCAAACAATGCAACCATGTTATTAATTTTATCAAAACCAGATTTCACATTCATTCATTAAAAACAAGTTGAATACAATAACACCGTAATGAGAAGAATGTTCAATTTTTACGTTTACAGAACAAACCTATAATAATGTTACTGAGTTACAATAAACCGTGAAATTCTGTTTCATTCGTCCGGAACAATGCACCTGTGTTGAAATATTATCGCACGGACCTCCTTCGGCCGTGGTCGTGCACCCGAAACTGTTTTCACAATTTACGAGAATGGAATTTTCTGCTGAACAGGCCCGCGGGATTTCTCAATCGGGAGATTCGTTAAAGAGGATATCGTATGTCACCCTGATCCTTCCGGCCTTATTCGCAAACAAAGCAAACTTCAGTGATTAATGCTTTCCCATGCGGCCAAATTTTGACAAAATTCATATTGTCGTTGAAATTCGCTTTTAAACTTTGATCGAGCAATCTGTAAAGTGATTTCCCTATCTCTAGTAACTCTTGAACGAAATAAAATACAACAATATGACTCTAGTTCTGATGAAAGTAAAAATACGAATTGAAAAAGACTAATATGAGTTGATTTCTAGTAACGTTAAAATCCTTGCATAACCCTAGTAACTTTTTGTACAAGATTAAATACGTAGGGACTAATAGAAGATAGTGCTACTATCGTAATGTATAGAGAATAGTATTATAGTAACTTATAAATGTTTTAAGTCATGTTTGTAATTTGTAAACAAAGGTAAGTATGTAACGTGTTTATAATAACTGGTGACCTAACCTACAGTCAGTTGCATAGCCCTAGTAACTTTTGAGCAAGGTTAAATATGTACGTAGAGAATGGTACAATAGCACTAGTATTGTAGTTTACAAAAACTAATCTATGTATGTTTTAAATAACCCTTGTCTCTTCAGATAAAAGGTAAATATGTAGCATATTGATTATATAATAGCTGATAACCTAACCTAGAAATTCAATGCATAGTCCTAATAACTTTTCTGCAAGGTTAAATACGTAGAGATTAATATTGTAGTTTACAGAAACTAATGTTATAGTTATAATTTTTTAACAAAGTTAAGTAACATATTTATAACAGCTGGTGACCTAACCTACGGTCATTTGCATAGCCCTAGTAACTTTTGAGCAAGCCTATATACGCGGGGACTAATATATGCTATTAAGCACTAGTATTCTAGTTTATAAAAACTAGTATTATAATAACCTATGAATGTTTTAAATAACCCTTGTCACTGCAGATTAAAGATAAATATGTAGCATACTTATAATAGCTGGTAACCTAACCTACAAATTTAATGCATAATCCTAATCATTTTTCAGCGATGTTAAATATATAAAGATTAGTATAATAACAGTAGTATTGTAGTTTATAGAGATGACTATTATAGTTGTAATTTTTTAACGAAGGTAAGTGACATATTTACAACAGCTGGTAACCTAACCTAGAAATTCAATGCATAGTCCTAATAACTTTTCTGCAAGGTTAATTATGTAGAGATTAGTTTAATAACAGTAGTATTGTAATTTATAGAGATTACTATTATAGTTGTAGTTTTTTAACGAAGGTAAGTGACATATTTATAACAGCTGGTGGCCTAACCTAGAAATTATTTGCGTAATGCTAGTAACTTTTGAATATTATTAAATGCGCTAAAGAAAAGTATAATAGCACTAGTATTATATTTATAAAAAATAGTATCATGACAACCTATGGATATTTTACATGCCGTTTGTAATTTTTTAACAAAACTGAATATATCCCAGTAGTCAAATGATCAATCCTTAACGAAATAGTTAAATGATTGCAATTTCTTTTATACAACGCAAAATTATAACAAAATACGTTTATCTGAAGGGGTAAAATTCCTATTTGCAGATAAAATAATCAGAATATTCCTTTGTGAAAGAAATAGTTTTAAATTAATTGAAATCTGGCATCAAGGCATATCTCAGTCGCTAATTATGTCCCAAATATTAATTATAAGTCAATTTAATTATTTCCATTAGTTAATTAAAAAGAATCAAGACGACAGTGTTTTATGAAATGAAAATATTCTATTAATAATAAGTTCGTTTAATTAATTACAGTGTATTTTTTCTCCTAAATTAATTTTCTCATATGAAACCTTTCAACTTGCTTGTTTTCAAGGCTTCTACTGTTGCAAGAACCATTTCTTGCTTGTAATCTTCTTTTTCTTTCTCTTCCAGCGTTCTAAATAATACATATAACTTTACATTCTAAAAGTAACACATTTCACTATTATATTTCAATTAATTTAAACGTTTAAAACTAATAAGAAATATTATTATTGTTAAACTTTCCGTTCAATTAATTAATTACCCGAACTAGTTCAACCAAGACATTTATCTTCATCCGTTCTGTAAATTCTCTTTGGACGCAGAGGGGAAAGTAATTTGGTTTATAAATTACTAAGAGTTGATAAATGCAAGCAGTTGATGGAGAAATGGTTGACAATAAGCATAGAATTTTTCTGTGACGACTTTTCATTCCAAAAGTCCTTCTCAAACTCTAAAGACGCGCCTTTCAGTGTTCCCATACATACATACATACTGTATATTAATGTTTCCTTTTTGTAAATCATATACTGTCCAATATTTTATTTTGTTCTAATATAATGTACAGTGTGTCTCACAACTAGTGTAAGTCCCTAAAATGGAAGGTAGCTGACGTGATTCTGAATAAGATTTCCCTTTGCAGAAATGGGGTTTAAAGCGTAGTTTTTGAATTATTAAGGAAAAACGCGAACCAATCAGAACGCAAGGATTACGCATGCGCAGATGCGAGAACGGCAGTTTCGGATAACGCATAGTAATCCAGCATGTGGATATCCAACGTGTTGTAATCCAGCGCGTGGTAATTCTACGTGTAGTAATGCAACGCGAAGTAATCCTACGCGTAGTAATCCAACGCGTAGTAATCTAACGCGTAATAATCCAACACCTAGTAATTCAGCGTGTGGATATCCAACGCGTAGTGATCCATGGCGTAGTGATCCAACACGTAGGTATCTAACGTGTAGTAATCCAGCGTGTAGTTAACCAAGGCGTAGTAATCCAGCGCGTGGATATTCAACGCGTAGTAATCCAACGCATAGTAATCTAACGCGTAATAATCCAACACCTAGTAATCCAACGCGTAGTGATCCAACGCGTAGTGATCCAAGGCGTAGTAATCCAACACGTAGATATCTAACGCGTAGTAATCCAGCGGGTAATTAACCAAGGCATAGTAATCCAGCGCGTGGATATTCAACGCGTAGTGATCCAACGCGTAGGTATCTAACGCGTAGTAATCCAGCGCGTAGTTAACCAACGCGTAGTAATCCAGTGCGTAATAATCCAGTGAGTAATAATCCAACGCGTAATAATCCAACGCGTAATAATCCAACGTGTAATAATCCATCGCGTGGTAATCTAACGCGTAGCAATCAGCCGCTAGTACTGAAGCTGTCTCTGTCACGTCTACGCATGCGTAACCCTCGCCCTCTGATTGGTCCATGTTTTTCCTTAATAATTCAAAAACGAAGCTTCAAACCCCATTTTTGCTAAGGGAAATTTTATTCCGAATTACGTCAGCTACCCCCTATTTCAGGGACTTACACTATTTGTGAGACACCCTGCATATACATAACATTTATGCATTTTAATTGCACCGTGTATGGTTCCAATATATGATTCTAATATAATATAACGCTCTAATATAATACAATACATACATGCGTTTATATACACATACATAATATGTATGCGTTCTAATTGCACCGTGTATAGCGCATTACGGAAATATCGAACACCCCGTATATATCGGATGTGAATCCTTGTACGAATACGTGGAAGGGGTTGGCTGTCTCTGATGCTGGTCCAAAGCTGCACAGAAGAGGGGTGTGTATCGGAGGGGTTGGCGGTAGAAGGTATCGCAATGCTTGGAATGTTTAATACCGGCGCAACGATACGGCACGGAGGAATGGCCGGCTTCAGCCACGGAATAAATCTCGCGGAATCATACCTACCTGCCGCCATTTCTTGTCTGCCAGTAAACGCCTACTTGAAAATTTTTCAACGCGCTACCGGAGCGAAAATGCTTATTGCGCTCCGATCCCGGGATCCACCGCTTTTTTGTTGGCTTTCTTTCTTTCTTCAAGGGCGAACATGCATTTTCTTCCCGTGACTGTTCGCCC